CTGAACACTGAAGGGCTGCTTTGAACATTCAAGAATGAGTGCTTCTCAAAAAAAAAAAAAGCCAAAAGCACTGCTGCAATGGAAATTCTTAGCCAATGTATATAAGGGGCTACACCTAACACTCTATATACTACAGATCTGTCTCAACTCTGCAGCATCAACTTGCCTTGTATTTGCTTAAACCCACTCTTAATCCAGTACTGTGAAAACTCATCTACTGAGGACGTTGTTGCATCTAAATTTTACTCATACGTGCCATGCTCTGTATGCCTTCCTGCACGAGTGTTGACCTAAATGCATAATTAGAGACCAGAGATACTGTACACAAACAAAGCTGAAAAGCATCTGTCAAATGCTCAAAGGGCCTGAAATTTGCATGAAAAGATGAGTGCTGCTCAGCTACTACTGCTTCTGATGGTAGTTTTGTGATGGCAGGGTTCCTATCCCACAGATATTGCCTCTCACAAATCTTTGCTTGAAGGCGGACAGGTTGAGCAGCTCTAATAGCATCCCCAGGAGCAGAGGAAGAGAAATTGCAGCTTCTTAGTCTCCAGAGGGAATTCAGCTTGGCCAGCTGCAGGCAGCATTTGCACAACTCAGGCTGCAGTCTCTCTAAAGGATGAGTGGATTCCAAAATGTGTCCAAGGTTCATCAAGAGAAAGCTTCCTCTGAACTGCAAGGAATGCTGTTTGATGTTGAGCTCTGTTGGTAAACACAGTTTGTAAGACCTCCCCTGCTGAGGCTTCAATTTAGAAGTTTGCTCAAGGCCTGGCTGTTAAAGGGGAAAGGAAATTAATTTATCTGAAGTTCAGACACTTCTCTGGAGTGACTACACCAAGACCTGAGTGACCCAGTCTCCCTGCAGCACATGGAGAAGCAGACACTTCCAGAGGGCACTTCAGGTCCTTGGTGATTTAAAGCTGTGTTGAAAGACTAGAAGGCAGTTTAGAAACCCCAACCTCTCAATGGTCTGTGCTTTGGTCAGGATATGAGGGGTTCTAACTTGGCTTACCTAAGGCAAACACATCAGCAGCTTGGTGTGTATGGTTAGATGGTACAAACCCCTGAGGCTTCTGCCTTGTAACACTAGCTGATAAATGTATCTTCTTACTGTTGTGGTAAGTACCTAAAAAACCCATTTCTGCTTGCTTTGAACAACACAACCTGGAGTATGGATGCTCAGGAGGACTCAAAGTGCAGCAGCCAGCCAGTTTTCTACTCCCTGTTAGAATACATTGCCACATTTACTGCTATAACTATGGATTTTAAACCAGCCTTTGCAGCCTGAGTGTACAATATTCTTGTTGATGTTTTCTTTCCTTTGCCTTTACACAGAACTAAAACCTGCCACCTGTGTGGGCTGCAGCTATTAACACTAACCTGTGCATGGCAGATGCAGCCTCATTAGTGAGCCTCACCAAGGGAGGTGGGAAACAGTTCTTCAGGTATGCAGCACTACACACTTCTAAAGTGCCTGCCAGGCTGGGTTCTCACTCTTTTTGACTGTTTCTGCATATTATAAATACTGGTGAAAATAATGAGGGCAAGGGTGTGTGCCTGTTTGCTGGGACTGTCATCTGCTGTCACTGTTGGCTTGTGGAGGCATGTGTTTGTTGACTTTGCATTGTTCCTGCACAAATGCAGAGCTCATAGGATGTTTCTGGGGGCTGTAGCTTTACTTTCAGGTGGTAGGTGTTGGTCCAACTGCCTGTCACACAGATTTGAATTAATAAATTCACATCCAGAGCTGATTTTTTTAACTTAGCCATCTTCATTGTACACCCATGTGGCATCAGCTGATGTGCAAAGTAAAAGGACAACCAGCTCAATGCAAATAATAATGTTTAATAGGCCAGCTATTAGCAGGACTAATCACTTAAAAGGGCTAATGATTTCATCAACTCTTGATGTGGAGTTGTCTTTCTCTGAACTGGCAGTTTTGCCATCTCTCTCCAATGCAATTTATAGCAGAGATGATAAATTAACTGCTTCCCTATTACAGATGTTGGAAAATTCTGTACTGTGTGTGAGACCAGAGCTGCTCAATCCAGTTCTGTTAGTTACTTACTGATATCAAGTAGAAATTAATTTTTCACTTACATGGTATTGCAGTCAGTGGAACGGGAAGGTAAGAAACATTAGAGAAGACAGTGATAGGACAAGGGGTAATGGTTTTAAACTGAGAGAGGGGAGATTTAGGTTCGATATTAGGATGAAATTCTTCCCTATGAGGGTGGTGAGGAACTGGAATGGGTTGCCCAGGGAGGGTGTTGATGCCCCCTCCCTGGTGGTTTTTAAGTCCAGGTTGGACAAGGTTTTGTGCAACCTGATCTAGTGGTAGGTGTCCCTGCTCATGGCAGTGGCGTTGGAACTTGATGATATTTAAGGTTCCTTCCAACCTTAATGATTCTATGATCTATGAACT